TCAAGCTAGCCGAATCACTTAGTGAGAAAGTCCTAGTTTTCAGCCAGTACATTGATCCTCTAGATTTTGTTTTAGAACAGCTTAACTTGGTGTTCAAATGGAATGAGGGAGAGCAAGTGTTATGCATGCACGGGAAACTAGATCTGAAACAGCGGCACTCTTTGATAAACATCTTCAACGATCCCAACAGTGAAGCGAAGGTGCTGCTAGCATCAACAAAGGCCTGTTCAGAAGGAATACACCTTGTCGGTGCATCAAGAGTAATCTTGCTTGATGTTGTTTGGAATCCATCTGTTGAAAGGCAAGCTATAAGCAGGGCATATAGACTTGGCCAGAAGAAAGAGGTTTACACTTATCATTTGATGATATCAGGCACACTGGAATCTGATAAATATTGTACACAGGCAGAAAAGGATCGTGTATCAGAATTAGTCTTTTCTTCAGGCAACAGGGAAAATGGTGTCTCGAAAAAATCTGTTGTTTCAAGTGATAAAATCCTCGATGAGATGGCTTCTCATGCCAAACTCAAAGGCATGATTGAAAGCATCATATACCAGCCAAAAGAATCATCTTTAATTAAAAGCTTCAGTTTGTAGAGATTTTTGGCATGGTTTTTGCTTGATTCAGGTCTGCTTTTGTGTCGATGGAATGACTGTAGTTCTGTTTAAAGAATAATATCAACACTTTTATTCACTAAATAAAGAGATCTCTCTTTCAGCCAGAATTGAAATTCAAACACTCAGTAAAATGATGCATGAGATGCCAAATAGAGTATTACATAAGGGAAATGAAAATGCTCAATATAATGCTGGGGATTCAAGGCTTGGTGGCGGGCAAGGAATTTGCAATGTCAATGACAAATCGGTATCTAACATCACCCTTTGCTAGTCGCTCCATAGCAGTGTTCACATAATCCATGGTGATAAGCTCAATATCTGCTGTAATGTTATGTTCTGCTGCAAAATCTACCATCTCTTGCATCCCCTTCATACCTCCTCCAGCGTTTCCAGTCACTACTTTCCTTCCTATTTTTGCAGTTCACTCATTAGTTCTTCACCTTCCGTATAAATTGCTAACAGAGCAAATGGATAGATAAAATGATAAATACAGCTGGTTTCTTTAGTACCATGTAAAAACTTACCGAGGAGCAGAGGTAAGACGGGTAGCTCGAGTGGCTTCGAAGGTGCACCCAAAAAAACAAGTTTTCCATTAGTCTTCAATAGATCAATCAGTGGTGAAATGGGATGAACAGCAGAGACTGTGTCTATGACTCCATCCAAAGTTCCCATGGCAGCCTGCGCGAATTCAATACATAAACATTGTCATTACGCATTAACCAGGTGTAGTCCTACTTATTATCTTTCGTTCTAATTTCTTGTTTAAGAATTTGAATATTTTAATGATTCAGTGGTTTTGTATGCAATTGGGAATTGCTGATAGTATGAATACGTGAAAGAATGCAGGTCTTGATATAGCTAATTACCCTTATTTCGTCCTGGTCACTGCTAACTAAAAATGAGTCAGCACCAAGATGCTCCAGAGCTTCATTCTTCTTGCTGGGAGATGTGCTTATTACGGTCACCTTGGACCCCAAAGCCTTGGCAAGTCTAACACCAACATGACCAAGACCTCCGAGTCCAACAATGCCGACATGCTTGCCAGGTTCCCCAAGACCAAAATATTTCAACGGACTCCAAACTGAGATTCCAGCGCAGAGCAATGGAGCAGCAGCATCAAGAGGGATGTTATCAGGAACCCGAACAATAAACTTTTCATTGGCAACCATGAAATCAGAGAATCCTCCATATGCTCTTGTTCCATCATTGTCAATTCCATGAAAGGTGACTATTAATTTAGGACAGTACACTGTATAGTCATTGACACAGTTATCACAAGAGCCACATGCACCAGCCATGCCTCCCATTCCCACCTTATCTCCGACCTTAAACTTCGTCACTTTGCTTCCTACCTCCGTCACTTCCCCAACAATTTCATGTCTGCAAAAGCAAAGTTTGTTTGTGCATGTAGGTTTTCTAACCAGAAAACAGTTTTGTAGTTAGGGGTCAGACTGGCTATTTTAATGCCAGTATGGGGCTGAAAAAACCATTTTACCATTAATGAATGAGGAGTAAAATGGTCGTCTTAGCACTGGGCTCGCATTAAAATTAGTCAGTTTGGACTAATTTTCCGTGTTCTACTTTCTGATAGTGAAAAGATCAACAGAGGGATCTTACCCTGGAACAATTGGATAGGCAGAGGCAGAGAAGCCAAAATCGTTCTTGATAAAATGAAGGTCTGAATGACATATCCCACAAT